GCATTCATGGGTAATCTATAACTTTTTCAGAATACACAAATATTACTTGACCTATATAATAGGTATGTGAGACAAATTTAAAATTTAATTTTTACTTTAAAAAATTCAAGTACCCATATATATAATAATATAATTACATATGAAATTACAATCATCCATAGAGTTGAAAATTATACACACAAGTATTATAAGATATTCGGTAATTGTAAATTATTGCAATAGGGGTTTGTTAATTATTAATAGTTAGATCAGAATACATACCTACACAGTATACGCATTATAATAAGTTTATTTATCCAAAAAAAAATATGTGAGAGTTTGAAAAAGTAAATATACTTGAATAAACATATGTAGATACATAACGTACGACGAATTGATTAGAAATTGAAATGCTTTTTTGGTAAAAATTTTTGATGGTCAGTTTAAAACATATGTCGTAAAAAGGGGACCGTAACGTTTGGATTTGACCTTCACGTACAAGACGGAAGTATAAAAAAATACACGTAATTTAGTTACTTTGCCCTTTAAAAATAAATATAAAAGGTTGGAACGACGAATGGGGGAATAATGTTAAAATTGTTTAGATTTTCCCTCAGGAAAACAGAAGTTTAAGGAAAATCGATTTTCAGGAAAAGAATTGTGTTTCAGGTACGTACGTTGATGGAAAACAAGAGTAAAGGTATTCTATGGAGAAAACTCTAGAGAGGCCATACTAGTTATTAGTACAAAAGGAATAGTTTTCCATTTTGTAGTCCTCGTTTTGTACGTGCTATTGGAAACTAACAAACATTTACGCGTTCGGTTAAATTTTCATTACTTTCCATACGATGATAATTGATTTTTTTTTTCAAATGGCTCATCACATCTACCAGGTAAACAATTTTTAACGCACACAAAACCGGAAAAATTAAAAAATCTATTGATTTAAGTAATCTTTTAATTTTGAACTTGAGAAAATATACAGTAAACGTAATTAATTGTTAACCTTACTTTGTGCATATCATATTAATATTTTACATGGGTAACATTATATCACACAAATGTTATGTTTCATTGCGCGTTTCGTGAACAACACATTTGAGATTAAAGAGCCAATAGAAGCTGTATAATTAACTAAATATTTGAATGTATGCATATATTTGTGTATGTGTTATTGTTGTTTTGAGGTATACTTATACAATTAACTTACAAGACATAAAACGGAATTAAATTGAACATTATTATTTTGTATAGAGTTTAGTTTACACTATTAACAAAACTTTTACGCTGTATGCGTAGTAATATTACTAGCTAAAACAAATACAAAAATATGAGTTAAGTTAAGTATTGCTGATTTTTGACCTCTTTCAAATAATATTGTTAATATTTTTTTTTATAAAGAGATGTAATTCAATCTTTTTCTTGTCAGACCTCTGATTATTTTACTGGAATATTCACAAAATCATTGATAATATTTACAATTAGGTATAAAATATATATTATAATATAATGTAATATTATCTGTGTATATATTTTTAAACTTTGATAATAACGCACATATAGGTGCAAAATAAGTCTTTAATTTAATTAACACCAGTTTTTACTTGGTACTTTATTTATCTAAAATATAAATTAATACAAAACCAAACAGATCTAACTATATAATAACCTCAATTTATATTTATCAATAATACGTTTATTTCAATAAGATTATCTTGGAAAATAATCACCTAAAGGGAATTATCGAATTATCGAAGGGATAATAAGAACATTTGGGTTCATAGTTTGAGCTCATTAAACTCCCTCTTCCATCGACCAAAACTTGTGTAGTATAAGATTTTCCAATCCATGACGTTATATCCTGGGTATTAGCTTATAAACCGAGGAGTTCAGTGTCCAAGACAGTAATCACAGATTTAAGAATTAAGGGTCTCTAAATTTCAACTAGCAAGCAGTATAACCATTGTGTCAACTGATAATGTATACTAATACTACTGTAATAAAGATGTAAAGTTCGTATAGTATAGTTAATTATAATAATATGTATATTGCTTGAAACTCTATAGTGGTTTGGTGATTATGTATTTGATAATTAATCAAGTTTATAACTGAAAATAGTACCTATAAATTCCTTATATATTGTATTGTAGTGCATCACATAATCATTGATCACATTTAACTATATTTTAAAACCATTTTTTATAGTTGGTCTATGGTCTATTAATTTGGTTAACATTGTTTTCAACAAAATTATATACATTTAGATTTATTGTAAAATAATATCTAGTCCGAAACCAATTTGTATCATTGATTATTCATTCCCGTATTTTTTAAAATTATTTTAGCACATTATGGAATAATTAATATATATACTCCCAGCAACAAGTATTAGTTTCATACATTTTATTAAAAATATTATGTTACCTATTTAATTTTAATTCTATGTTTATTTATTTTTTGGCAATTTATTACATCTTCACACATTTCATCATAAATAAGTTCAAGAGTGTTCAAGATTACCAATAATAAATAATTTAAGCCCATAGTTTTGTATACATAAATGCCAAGATAACGCTGAATGTCCTAAAGTTTAATGAAAAACTTCTTTTAGTCGTCCAATTGTTAAGATAGTCCAATGGGGTAAGTGACATAAAGTTTCTCTGGTTTCATTCTATGTTCATACGTTACAGTAATTATTTCACTAAATGTGAGTTACTTTTCAGTTTGTGTACACTTAATGGTATATTTAATATTTAAAACTAAAAACCATTTTTATTATTTTTGTATTTTTTTTTATTGAACGTTACAGCTTCGGCAGCATAGGCCATTAGCTTTGAGTTTTATACAATAAAATTATATACTTATAAATATTTACATAGAATAGGAAGAAAAAAAACAGTTTATACAATATTAGTTACTTATCACTATTAATTATTATATGCTTGCTTCTAAATTAGTTAATAGGTTTATTTGTGTACTATGGGGAGTGTCGGAGATATAGATGGCTACACCTCCGCTGGACCGAAGTGCATTTGTACGATTTTTATGGTATCCTGTATATGCTGGAACGTTTCCTATTGAATTGTCATTGAAATTGGTTTCTTGTAAGCATAATATTTTTGGGTTGTGTTTTTGAATGATTAGTTGTAATTCACATTTTTATTTTTTATTGTGATAGATATTTTACATCATAATACTTGTTCAAAATAATAATAATTTTATATTATCTGTATTTATAAAAAAATAAAAAATAAATAAAAATATGTTACCTGAAATTAATTTAATAATGTTTTTCCATATTTAAAAATTGTATACCAAAATAGTTTATACGTCTATACTATTTAATATTTTATTTTTAATATGTAGTATTTAATATAACTAAAAGATATTGGTAGTATTATATTATATTTTAAAATTATGTGACATATGTAACGAAAACGAGTTTTAGAAACATATTATTAACAGTCAGTTGAGTTTTGTGTTAAAATCAATAAACCGTATAGTTTACTTATTTTATACATCAATATTACTAATTTGATTGTTTTCCTAATACAGCAGTTATTTATTTCTTAATTTATTCTGAAGAATCTATATAATTATAATAATTAATTTATATTCTGTAAATAATATTTTACAAATGGTTCAGTAAACAAAAATGGCATACTATAAAAATATGATTCAATTCAAGAGAAGTAAAGTTAGCTATTAGAGACATACCTACTTAGTAAGAATATTAGGAGATAAACCATTTTTGTTAAGAAAACGACATGCCTGCATAATAATATGTTATCTCCGCCCAACCAACGTATATTATACCAAAATATATGTACAAAAGTTTTATTTGTAAATTGTCGTCTTAAATATTGGAGTTAGTTTTATTGATCTATTATTAAACATAAATGTAAAAACATTATCTGTGTTCTCTTATTGGTATTTCTTATAATATTTAATTTTTTAAATGAATTATGATAATTTTCAAATATTTTACATACTATTATAACTCTCAATTAAAATACCGCAGAAACCATCAAAATAACACGGAAAATATTCTCACTTTTAAGTTGTTAATAACTCTAATATTTAAGCCAATAACAAAAAATTGGAATTTTTGGATATACATTTTGATATAATCAAAATATGATGTTCTAAGAGGACGCCGTATGTGTTATCTCCATCTAACAAATGATTAATATAGGTACCAAATTACGTTCAGCAGATCACGTTTTGCTCTGTTAGTATAAAGCATTTTATGCAATTTAAAGGTAAGGATATTGTCTGTGTTCGTATATCGGGTTTTTACGATGGTTTAATTTTTTAGCTAGTTTTGCGTCTAAAAAATAGCGTAAATTAAAAATTCTCATAACACACTTAAAAACTGAACCATCGTAAAAACCCAACATGTGAACACAAATAATGTTCTTATTTTTAAATTTTATAAGAGGTCAATTCACTTTAATTTTTAATCTGTCGGATCTAAACGCGATCTTCTGAGCGTAAATTTGCTATGTTATTCGCTTGTAAGATGGAGACAACACATGTGGGTTTGGCATCCTCTTAAGTCGTATAAGAAATTGATCTGCAATTTATCTCGATGCAAGACTACTTATAATATTACGATTCGAGTGGTTATTAAATATTTATGAGCTTTTAGAGTAAGAAAGAGAAGCAAGCTTATTTAATTTTAGAAAGAAGTTTTTTATATAATGTGCCTCGTTGCTCATTAGTAATATATTCCATTAAGTTTCTGTTATTTGGCATAAACATATTGACTTAAAATGCTGTATGGTTTTAGAATTGAGAGCTTTACATAGTACCAAAGTTATAGTATAGTGTAATAGCAAACAAATGTTACAATAAGTATATAATTTTAATTTTATTTTTAAATGACGTTTGAAACGAAATAATAAGGTTCAAAAAGATGAAGTCATGAGTTAAATGTTTGACGATTAGCCTTTAGCAGTTATAGAAATGTATAAATATAATTTGTTATTAATATATAAAATTGTATTTTATCATTACAGATACCGTCTAATCAATTCCTGTAAATCTAAAATTGAGTCAAATATCGAAAGTAAGTATTTAATAATTTATTAACGTTTAAAGCTGATAAATTAAAAAATATATAATGAAGTAAAATTAAATCTTTCTATAGTGTACAGTGTTACGTATATACAACATACAAATGTTTTGTTTAATATAACAAATGGAGTTAAAATATATTTATATAATATTATCAATGGTTAATTATAATTATTTTGTTTTTGATTATTGATACATAAAAATGTTATTACATGTATGGATTATTGTTTATGATTTATAGAAACAAATCGCTAAGAAGGTAGGTGGAGTTAAAATTTAAAAGTAATAAAATAACTAAGAATTTCTGTAATTTTAAAAGCTAATTAGATTTTATTTTTATCTTAATATTTTTGTCAATTTTTTATTTGAATACTGTAGTAAATTATTTAATTATTTTTCTGTTTTTAGCAATTTATGTCGTCATTCATTATTGATACGGAAAAGGTTTCAAACCAAATACTTGTTTTTGGCAAAATCAATTTATTTGATTACACTAAAAATCCAATTACATTTTGTTTACCAATTCAATTTAGAAAGGATTATCAAAGACATAATCAGAATTTTAATATAAAAACTTGTTTTTTTTTTCATTACTAACATGAGTCTTTCTGTCAAAATATTAGATTTATAATTTGAATATAAATTAAACAGATATAAAATAGTATATTTAGTCCTTTATAAGCTAAAAAAACTCAATGCACCTACTGAAGCTAACCATGACATAAAAGAAGAATATTTTCCTTGTATCGGATAGAATACAGTTTTGAATATTCCACGATAACTGATACCTATGTATGTGAAGTATATAATCCTTAATATGAAAATTCTAGTTGGTGGGTATTTACCTGTTTTTGTTTATTTTGATATGCTTATGATGTACTATTATAAGAGATTTCAAATACCTTTTTTTTTTTACTTTCATAAATATTCTTAAGTGAATCTTAGTGAAACATAATACAATCACCGATAAATCCATACCTAGCAAGTATATGATCCTTTACATATGTATTAAAACATACCAATATCCTGCATAAAATACATCAAATTATAATAATATTATATAAATTAAAATAGTGAAAAAGTATTTAATTAGGCATCTAAAAAATGACACTTTCACTTAGAGTTTAAATCTTTGATAATGTTAAATTATTAAAATGTTGACTTATTTTTTAATGGATTCAGTATTGTAGCAGTTTCATAGCGTATGCAAACAATTATGTTTTTCTAAGTAACATTTTTTTTTAATCTGGCTTTATTCATATTTTAATCAATTGCATATTTATGTATTATTTGATTACGGTTGTTTGACAGTTTTAGTACAAAGAGTAAAAATACATTGGAAAAGAAGAAGTTTCGTTTGATACATTTGTATAATTTGGTTTGTGCCTGTTTATTATTTGTCCAAATTTAACATAATATGGAAGATGGAACTGATACCTTTTTTGATCGACCATGCGGATATAATTCGATAAATGAGATACAATAGAGAGTAATACAATATTATGTAGTACAGGAAAAGAAACTTATTTCGGTATTGAGATTGATAAACATTTTAAAAATGTCTACAAATGAAAAAAATTTGTTGTGTTAAATTTGATATTAATACTATATAGGTTATATTTTATTGTTTTATAAACGATAAAATGGTCTACTGACTTCTAGACTTCTAGTGCCTTTTCAATGTTATTTTATATCCGTTTCTTTGCATAATGAAAGGAGAAGTCGTTAGGATGAACGCGACAGTTTTTTTAATAAAAGGAAACTTTTCACTTTTAATTTCCGGAAAAAATACCATTTTTCTAAAGACGCGTTGAATTGAGTGTATAATAACTCGGCAATAGTTTTCACTATGTAAGTATAAAAAGTATAACTTTTTGCAAGGAAACAGTAAAATAAAATAAGGGAGTGAATCGCAATAAAAATTAAAAGTCGATTACTACTGTGTCTGACAATATATTTAACAGTCAATGATAAAGATATTGTTGGAATACTTTAGACGGCATACTTCCCTTCTTATGTAATACTCATTAAAAATAAGAGATAGAATATATATGTATTAGATCGTACGCTTATATATTATAATCTGATATGCATTTAGGATTTACGTACCTTAAAATGTACACCCTTATTTTACACAATTACTGACACTTGTTGAATCTTTCGTGTCATTAATAAACGACAATTTCAAAACGTTTTTGTCTTTATATTATTTATAGTCTAATTAATTTAACATAGATGGCAAAGTATCTTCGTATAACAACACAGCAGTATTTGGCCTTAAAAACGAAGTAGTTCGTGTTTACTTATGAAGTGAGATATAAATTTAAATTTAAATTATGGTTATAAAAGCGAGTAAATTTTAAACATAAAATAATATATATATATATATATATATATATATACATATGATTTGGTTTAGATATCAGATATACAGCCTTATACTTAAATCTGTTGTTTGGAATTGCATTCGTAAAAAAATTATACTCTATTAGGATTGATAGTGAAGAAATAAATTATTTACTGTGTTCGGTAGCATTCGGCCTCATCTGCGGTCGTCATTCAATTTAGCTTAATTGGCTTGAAAACATATACACAGACACACACAATACATGGTTGTTTCCAATATACGAGATTGGATCCTCCCACCGAACACGGGGACAAGTCGTAAACATTAGTGGTCGAGAAAATCGTAAGCCGTTCGGTTAATTAACACAAATTTCGGACCAGGTGAATGTTGTCCCGCCTTTGTAGACTTAAAGTTGGGCGTATATAGGAGGAATGCGAGCCAAGCAGTTTATAGGGAAAATGCTACCGTACACAGTGGGATGAAATGGCAAACGGATCATTACAAGGGTTCAAAGACATGCAGAATTTGTGCTCATCGATTCAAAAAGTAATCTTGAAATTTTCGCCGTAGACATTTTCCCTAGTAAATGTATTACCATGTAATTTATTGCTATTATATCTCCGTATAGTTTATATCGTACTTAAGTTTACTTTATAGTATATTATATTATTATGTCACAATTTTATCATTTGTTGGTGAAGTATTAAATCATTACATTCATTTTATTTTTTATAGCTTCGGTTGTCTATAGACTCAATGTTTCACAATATAGCAAAAACAAACTAATCATAACAAATATTTTGATAGCGAATATCGCATATTAATTATTATAAAACGTGTAGCCAGTGTGTATTTATGTAGGTATACTTCATTTATGTATCTCGATTTAGCCCAGTCAAAAAAAAATTAATTATTATTATATATTTTATGTGATTTTATTGCGATCAAAAATTATAAATATTATATACAGAATTAATATAGTTAGGTATAAAAACCCTAAAATTGTATTATGTAAAATTGCGGATATGTCAGTCATCTTACATGTATGGTACCACCACTGATTTTTATTTTTGATATCGACACTAGTTAAGTCAATAGTTGTATAGTTGGTACTTTAAGCGCAAACTATTTAATTCTATCTTATCTTAGCTTTCTACCCATTTTCACGACATATAAAAAACAATTTATTATATGTTAAGCTAATTTTTTAGGAAAACAAGTTGTAGATGAAAATATTGTACTGTTATCAATGATCAGCACTATTTTTATTGTACATGTGAAAATAAATTCAGCTCTCAATTTACACTATTATTTCAGTGAACAACTCTGCCATTCAATATTTAACAAACATATTACAGTTTGCTAGCTTTGTGTGTTTAAAATTTAAAGGCGCGCATCGGTGATTATTAAATGGGCAAAGAGATTTACAGTTTCCTATCTTGTACGCACTCGTTTAAACTTTAAACACTTATGGTTCATAAACTATTAATTTAATATTAGATATAAGTACCTCCCAAACCACATATTAACACCAATATGTACATGAATATATATCTGTAATTTAATATTTAAAAGATTTACGTTGCTTCTGTAAATAATAAATTTTTTTTATTTTTTTCATTTTTATGTTTAATAAGAAGGCTAACGATTTAAAAAATATGATGAAATATAGAATTTTAACTTTTAAGAGTATCTAAGTTTAAAATTAAAAAAAAAAAACATCAAAAAGAAAATGTTATAAATGCTATAAATATTCGGAAATAATGGAGATTCATTTAAAAACTGTCACAAATTATAATATGTTAATTTTTCATTTTAAATATGAATTAATTTTGGTTTTATAAATGTAAATATTTTTAATATATTCATGTGAAAATTTCATATATTACAGTAAAGTAAACCATGTAATAGTTTTTTTTTTTAAATATTGAACACTCATTTGGCATTGAACTCGGATGTAAAATAACAATAGCATCATAACTAAACCAAATCCAATACTGAACCAAAGTAACTTAAGTTTAAAATTGTATATGACAATATTGACAAATAGGTTAGGTTAGGCGGTGTACTTCCGAAATTGAACATTTGGCTCTTATACTTGTTTTTGTATTGATAAATTAAGTTTGAATAATATATATATATATATTTTATAATAATATGTACATAATTATTATTATAACATGCGTAACATGTAAATATATATATATATATATATTTTATAATAATATGTACATAATTATTATTATAACATGCGTAACATGTAAATTACAATATCACGTATAATAAAATATTAATAACAAATTGTGCCTATTCCAATATCATTTATAAGTTACGTATTTATTAGCTTTAATTACCCATACCCAATGTACAATATAATGCTTTTTTTTTTAATATCTCAAATCATTTTAATAACCAATTTTCGCTGATCTGAATTTATAATTTATAGTAATAATAATACGTATATCACTAAATTGTTTTCAGTAAAAGCTGCTGTGTTCTTTTACTCGTATTATATTATAATACATAAACATAAAATTGACAGTTATGTATCTTATTGTTTATGTGAGAGCAATGTGTTATTATAAATGCCGATGCGAAACGTCATACAAGACTGAATAATAAAACTTCACCGGATATTCCAGCGA